GCCTCCAAGCGGACCCCAAAACGGCCCAAGAGGGCCGCAAGACTGCCCATGAGGCGCCCAAGACGGCCAAAGAGGGCCCCAAGACGGCCCCAAAAGGGGTCCAAGAGAGGGAACACGAACCGAAGATCCGAGCCTTCCGCCCCAAGAAGCCGCCAGGAGGCCCCCAGAGGCGCCCAGAAGGCTCCAAGAGGCCTCTAAGAGGCCCCCAAGAGGCCCCAAGAGGCCCCCAAGAGGCCCAAAAGAGGCCCCAAAACGGCCCCCAAGAGGCCTCAACACCGCCTTCAAAAGGCACTCGAAAGGTCCCCTACGAGATCCCAACGAACATCCAGTCGGCTTCAGATCCACAACCCAGGCACGGTGGCGGAATGTGCCGAATGCCATTCTATCCGCCGCCCCTTGTTGCCTGCAAGAGGGGTGCCTGGCGTGCTGAATCCTATCGTTTTTGGTTTTGGTTCTTCTTCCAAAAGAACTGCCCCTGGGGCTCCGGCGCGTCCCGCTGGCCACCGGAAAGGATGCCGAAAATGTGCCGGGACCCGGCTCCAAAGGGGTTTTCCTGGTCCAGACGGCTCAGCGACGGCCCAAGATGGCCTCTAAGATGCATCCCAGACGGCCAAGATGGCCTCCAAGACGGCTAAGACGGCCCCAAGATGCCTCCAAGACGGCCCAAGATGTACCCAAGATGGCGTAAGATAGACTCAAGATGGCCCAAGACGGCCCAAGAGGCCTCAAGACGGCCCAAGAGGCCTCCAAGAGGTGCTCCAGGAGGGCCCGCAGAGGCCAAAATCATAGGTTTTCCTTTGGTTTTTGAAGGATTTGGGCATTTGCCTCTTCTCGGCATTCCGACGGCTCAAGACGGCCCAAGAGGCCGCCAAGATCGCCCCACCATCGCCCACGAGGCCTCCCAGAGGGCCCCATGACGGCCCAAGAGGCCTCCAAGACGGCCCAAAGACGGCCCAAGAGACCTCCAAGACGCCCAAGATGACCTCCAAGACGGCCCCGAAGCGCCCCAAGAGGACACCAAGTCGGTTCAGAGAGGCCCCCAAGACGGCTCCCGACGGCGTCAGACGTGCCAGGAACCCACCAAGATGGCCGAAGTTGGCTCGAAGCTGGCCCACGACGACCCAAGAGGCCTCCAAGAGGGCCTCCAGGAAGGCCAGAAAAGGCCACTGTTCCACAGGTTTTTGAAGGAGTTTGACATTTGCTTCTTTTCGGCCTTCCGACGGCCCGAGACGGCCCAAGAGCCCCCAAAGATCGCCCAAAGATCGCCCAAGAGGCCTCCAAGATGGCCCCAGAACGGCCCAAGAGGCCCCCAAGACGGCCCTAAGAGGCTCCCAAGACGGCCCAGGAGCCATTTAAGACGCCCAAGATGGCCTCCAAGACGGCCCTGGAGCATTCCAAGAGGGCCCCAAGTCGGCCCAGAGAGGTTCCCCAAACGGCTCTCGACGGCGTCAGACGGGCCAGGAGCCCACCAAGACGGCCGAAGATGGCCCTAAGATGGCCCAAGACGGCCCAAGAGACCTCCAAGAGGGTCTCCAGGAAGGCCCGAAAAGGCCAACATCATTGATTTCCCATGAGGAAGTATTGTGGCATTTGCTTTGTTTCGGCCTTCCGACGGTCCGAGATGGCCCAAGTGCCCCCAAAGATCGCCCATGAGGCCCAAGACGGCCCCAGGAGGCCCCCAAGACGGCCCAAGAGGCCTCCAAGACGCTCAAGATGGCCTCCAGGACGGCCCAACAGCCCTCCAAGACGTCCTCCCGGAAGGCCCGAACGGCTCAAAATGGCCTCCCGACGGCCAAGATGACCTTCAAGGTGCCCACGCGTTCCCCGAAGGCTTTCCAAACCGACTCGGGGAACACATGGTCCGATAGCTTGGCAGGTCTGGCCTCAACGTTCGGCCACACAGGCGCTTCCAGAAAGGCATGGGGCGGCGGTGATTCGCCGTAGGCGTCTTCGATAAACAGATATGGACCATATCTGTTTATCACATGGTCAAACTCGACCATATGAGACCATATATCTTGCGATATCGAGATTGACCATATCATATGGTCAATCTCGATAATAACGATCAGACATGACTCGCTGCGCGTGAGCTACACGGATGGGACGGCTCCAAAACAATCCTTGGTTATCGCTGGGCACCTCCTTGGACGCCCTGATTTTGCATGTTTGATTGTCTGGTGGCTCGAGAGATGGAGACAAACTCCTCTTCAAAAAGAGGCACTCGCCTGAACGGCAAGCCCGCGAAGTGATCGTCTTGCAAAAAGCGCTTCCGCAATGACAGAGAATTTAGGGACTGGTGGGGAGGGCAGTTTGGTCGGAAGGGTGCGTTGCAGCATAGCTGGTGCATGATGGGGTCGCCCTGTTCCTCCGTCACCATCCCTCCTCTCCCTGCTCATCCCCAGTCCCGTCTGGAAGGATGGACAAGAGGATGAGGAGAAGTCTGATGACGATGATGATGATGATGATGATGATGATGATGATGATGATGATGATGATGATGATGATGAGGAGGAGGAGGAGGAGGAGGAGGAGGAGGAGGAGGAGGAGCAGGCGGAGAAGGAGGAGGAGGAGAAGGAGGAGGAGGAGGAAGGGAAAGAAGACAAAACGGAAGGGGGAGAAGAGGTTGGGATGCATGCTGGAGAGGAGGACGGCGGGGTGCCTCCTCGAGGGTACCCCCCTGTCTCCCCGACGGCGGCCTGGAACTGGCGCTCCAGGCGCTGCTTGGCCTCCTGGGCGGAGTACGCCAGCGCCAGCCAGTCCCCGTGCGCCTCAGGCACTCGGCCACGGCGTTCGCGGCCACTGTATTCGACAATGAGGGTGCGACGAGGGAGGCGCAAGGAGGAGGAGGAGGAGGAGGAGGAGGAGGAGGAGGAAAAAGGCAGAAGGAAAAGCAATATGCGGGAGGAAGATGAGGAGGACTACGAGAAGGGAGAAGGAGGAGGAGGAAGAAGAGGAGGAAGAAGAAGAGGAGGAGCAGGAGGAGGAGCAGGAGGAGCAGGAGAAGGACGAAGAGGAGGACGAAGAGGAGGAAGAGAGGAGGAGTGGAGGAGGAGGAGGAGGAGGAGGAGGAGGGGGAGGAGGGGAGGAGGAGGAGGAGGAGGAGGAGGAGGAGGAGGAGGAGGAGGAGGAGGAGGAGGACCTCCTCCTTCCTCCCATTTTGGCCCATCCCACCTGCCCTGGACCCCCAAAAATCCGGACGCCCCGAGTCCCGGGGCCAGAGCCTGGGGCCGGGGGGACCCTCCGAGCGGGGCAGGGCGAGGCGGGTGCAAGGAGGGGGCTCTCGCTCTGAGGGCTCCGGCTTGCGCCAAAGTGGGGCGCGGAGGAGAGAGAGGTCCCCTCCCCGTGCCCCGCACCACTGTTGTTAAGTCGGGCTTGTCCCCCTACAGGGGGATTTTCGACGAAAAATAAAAGAATACCCCCAAATAATCAAAAAATAGTCCAAAAATAGTCTGGGGACTATTTTTTGCATGTTTTTTTATCCTTTGGGGGCATTTGTGGAGTGTTTTTGATTTTTCGTCGAAAATCCCCCTGTAGGGGGGACACGCCCGACAGAACACCTTTGCTCGGGGCCCCCGGCGCCCGAAGCCGACGGGGCGGCCGCGCCACGGCCCCCCCCCGACCCCCGCAGAGGGGGCGGGGCCCCCCCCGAGGACCCCGCCGCCGACGCCCCGGGGGGCCGAGGCCCACTCGGCGGGCAGGGCCCCCCCCCCGCTCTGCCGCGGCCGCGCCCGGAGAGGCGGGCGGGGCCCCCCCTGCCCTCGGCTAGACGTAAGAGTGACCCTGGGTAAGATTGACCTTTGGTGCGCAGCTTTTGGGGGGCCGCGGGGGGGTCAAACGCAAGCGCGCAAGACACTACTATCGCATCGCGCTCGGCGATCGGGGGACCCCAATGGGCCCGCGCCAGAGGTCACTCCGGCGAAAGGTCACTCTTACGTGTAGCCGATTCCCCCCGCCCCCGCGTGCCCACCTCCCCGAGATCTCCCCCCGGCCTCCTCCTCGCCCAGGGTCTGCCTCGAGGATCTGCCTCCTTGCCAAGGATCTGCCTCCTCCTTACCTCCTCCTCCTCCTCCTGCCTCCTCCTCGCCGGCCTCCTCCTCCTCCTCCTCCTCCTCCTCCTCCTCCTCCTCCTCCTCGAGCGGATGCAGGCCCGCCTCGACGCCTCCGCGGACGCGAATTTGCCCTCGGCGCGCCTCTCGGACGCCTCGAGCTCGGAGCCGAGGGAGAGGGCCTGCTGCGCGAGCTCGAGCTTCGAGAGGGCCCCGCTCGAGTCGACCCTCTTCGCCATGTCGAAGCCCTTGAACTCCAGGTTCGTGAGGGCGTCGGCCTCGGTGTTGGCCGCCCTCGATCTCCAGACGCGGCTCAAGTCGAGGCTCGGCCGGGTCAGCTGGCTCGACAACTCCATGGCCACCCCGCGCAGCGGCCACTTCGTGGACATCCAGCGGCGGACCAGGCTTCTGTCGCCCTGTTTGTCCGTCCCCGCGCTGAAGGCAACGCGGCCGACGTGTCCGCGAGACCGGTGCTCTTCCTCCACCAGCAAGACGAGGCCGAAGACGACCGCGAGCAACTCCAGGCTCGCCGCGACCTTGTAGGGCGCCCCATTGGCGAAGGCCGACGGCGCCTCTTCGCGCGAGGCCACCCTCGAGAGCCAGCGTGGCCCCCAGGTGCTGGGCGTCGCTCTGACGGACCAGCCTGCCGGCACAATCAAAAGCCGCCCTCGGCCTGCGCGCCGATGTGGAAGAGTTCCCCCTCGTCCGCCACCGACGGGAGGAAGGAGCGCATCCCCTGCTCGCTGATGCTGCTGCCGATCCACCTCGAGCGCGAGGCGAACCGCCGCGGGCGCGGGGACACACGCCCCGTGCAGGCAAGCCGCCACCCAGGAGCAGGGCGGCCCCAGGCAGGGGCGCACGCGCACCGAGGGGCTGGCGACGCAGGCGCGCTTTTGCCGAGCCCCTCGCGGATCCGCCTCACGACCATGACCGCCGCCTCGGGACACCTGC